ATCGAATGTTTGCTATTCTCTTCATAGCTTTCACTACCTGCTCCATCTCTACTCTCTCGTTCAGTCACTCTTCTTGTATTCGTAGAATCTGACATCTAGTATAACATGCATAAAATAGTACTTAAGTTAGTAAGGAGAGAAATATAACATATTCTTCCTATACCCTATCAGTAACATGACATCTTAGTGGCATGTAAACTCTTTTTACATCAAAATACTCTCGATTTCGGTCGAGAATCAACTAAACCTCTAGCTCTGATACCAATAAATGTAACCCCCATCTCCCGTATACCTTTCCATACATGAGATATAGATGTCATATCACTATTAAAATATTTCTTCTTTTAAAAACCATAAAATTTTGTTTCTTTTTATAAAACATTTTAATTAAAACTAATATAAATATTCATTAAACTTAATTACATAACAAAAATATCATTAAACTGTTTCATCATTTTACAAAATGGTAAATCAAATATTTTCAAAGAATTTTTTGTAAATATTTTGCATGCCAACTAAATACATCAAAAATTAGACATGTATGTCATACTGTTACTGATGAGGTGATCTTTTCTTTGATGTCTGACGATCTCCTTACTCAGCTTGTATTACGACCTACGCGTGAAATAAACACACGTTAAGTATTTACTTAGTGAGACAAGACCAATAATACAATGAACTCATCATTTCCTTATTTCACATCGATCAAATATCAATTCATTAATTCCAAGTTAATATTACTTCATTACGATGCACCCGTATTACCTGTACAGTCATTCATAAACTCATTATGAATTTTGTGGGATGCACACAGTGCCGAAATGGTTATTCATCAACATATAATGAATTACGTGAATTGCACACTTAGTGCCAAAACGGTTATTCATCAACCCATGATGAATTTCGTGAATTGCACACTTAGTGTCGAAACGGTTATTCATCAACTCATGATGAATTTCGTGAATTGCACACTTAGTGTCGAAACAATTATTCATCAACATATGATGAATTCCGTGAATTGCACACTTAGTGCCGAAACAGTTATTCATCAACTCATGACGAATTCCGTGAATTGTACACTTAGTGCTGAAACAGTTATTCATCAACATATGATGAATTCCGTGAATTGCACACTTAGTGCCGAAACGGTTATTCATCAACTCATGTTGAATTCCGTGAATTGCACACTTAGTACCGAAATGGTTATTCATCAACATATGATGAATTTCGTGAACTGCACACTTAGTGCCAAAATGGTTTTTCATCAACATATGATGAATTCTGTGAATTGCACACTTAATGCCTATTGTGTAATCACCACACACATATTAAGTAAGCATACACATATGACTAGTATAACATATAGTTACACAACATATAGTTACACAATTAAATGCACTCACCTTAGCTTTCCTCGCTACTGTATCCAAAATGCATAGTTGATTACTCATGTACTTTGCCTTTGCCCTTCGTTTTGCTTGTCTCAGGAGCTTGATTTTGATCTACTCAAGCATCTATTAAAGACACATACAATGCCAATTGTTAGTATACTTCCTAACAATTATACTTAAACAATACTCAAAAGTACATATTATTAACTTTCTATAACAATTTCAGCCTATTTATACCATTTATGGCTCAATAGTATCGGTAAACCCACCATGGTATCGATACTAGTATACTATGGTACCGATACTCTTATACGGTATCGATACCATTTTTACATTCCGTTATCAATGGTATCGATACCTTCCTCACAGTATCGATACCCATCACTCGATATCAATACTTCTTGTATCAGTTTCGATACTACTCAGTTGTTCTTCCCATTTTAAGTCTATAGTATCGGTACTATTCTATCAGTACCGATACACGTGCCTAGATTTTCCAGTTTTTAACCCGATTATTACCTAAATGGGGTCAAATTTCGTTATGTTTACACCCACAATACTATTAAACTCTTATTTACCTATTCATCCTGACTTTCCTTCATTGAGCTTCTTAAAACATCTAAAATATTCTAAGAACATTCAATTATAAGAATCACATTACTTTTTCTAACATGTTCTTAATCCTATCCAATGCTTCTAATCTCTCATTTACCTCTTTGACAAGGCAAATCTACCAGCAAACATCAATAAACACTAATATACTAACATATCATTTCAAAACACATTTTCTAAAATCTCCTATATTTCCTCTATATCATCTTTTTAATCCCATTTAATCCTTCCTTAAGCTTCTATCATACTCAAAGATTCAAAAACCAACCAAAAATGAAAGGATAAACTAGCCATTTGAAATCTCACCTTGAGCTATGGAGGAGAGCTACCCACGGGGAAAGAAGAAGAGAATAGATGATTTTTGCTCACTTTTTCCTTTTTCCCCTTTTCTTCATATTTAAATACCTTAATAAAAATGAATTTTAAATTCATTTTCCTCCTTAAAGGACCAAAATGCCCTCTTAATCATCCATTACTACAATTTAGTCTACAGTACTATTCCAAATAATTCTCATCTTTTATCAATTAATCAAATAGATTCCCAAATTTTAAATCCTTTCAATAACATCCCTAATTAAATATTTGGGGCATTACATGCATTTTGTATGGACGTTGTATTATTCAAGTCATAACTCTATTTTAATTTAAACTTTGAAACTTTGATTTCGCTTCCGTTTATGATGAATGATTTTGGTGTTTATAAATGTTTTGAAAAGAAAATTTTGGGTTGACCATTTCGGTGGTCTCATGTAGCATCGTAATACATGGATTTTCGAGTCAGACATGATTAAAGTGTTACATAATTCATTACAATTGAGTAGTAATTTATATTTACTTTGAACAATTATGTTATTTGTAGGAGAAATTGTATCTAGGGATCTCGAATGATTATTTGAAGCAATCGTTATGAAAGAAATGGAGAGATCACAGATGTTCCTTAAAAAATAATTAGTTTAAGAATAATCTCAACCTTAAAGAAAATCTGCAAAATGTCCCACTTTAAATGCTTATATATCAATGGGAAAATACAATCAGGTTTTAGAGTTCAAAGAAAGGATAGGTATGATGTACTTTAAAAAATAAAATTATGACTTTATAATATTTAATTTATAAGTCATGTAAATTACAAATTGTAGGACCGAAAGCAGATTTGTATTACTAGCAGACAACAACAAAAGTATACTCACACAATTGGGTCGAAGAGCTTTGCTCATATAGCTCATAATGAAATATTATTTTTTAAAATTATTAATTATTCACATAGTGGTTTTAAATTGGTAGCACATAGTAACAAAATTGTTTCTATTATTTATTATTTTTTGTATGTATTAATTTATATTCTATATTATAGGAAAATATGTTCGGTAATAGAGTTGGACGAATAAAGCTTTTCAACATGAAACATTAAAAAAAGATGATTCTTATATGGCTCCTGAAGCTGCAGAAATTATGGTATATTTACTGGACATAAATTTTGAATTATTTTTATATTTATACTTATAGTATAACATTTTTATTGTAAATAATGTTTGAATTCGTTCTAAATTCTTAATTGATTTTAAGAAAAATTGAGTGGTAAAGAGGTGGAGTAAAAAGCTATGTCTTCATCTCATGGTTCTATAATGTGGACGATATTGAAAATCAAGTCATTGTTAAAGTTTTCGGTCCTGAAAGATATGGTCGAGTTCACCTTCAAGGATCATTCGTTACCCCATCCAAATATTCTCAGTCCAACTTATCTCGGTACATTCCATCACACAATTAGTCTTCTCAATCAGAAGTTTATAGATAAAAACAATAATTGACTCAAGTGGATGAAAATTTTGCTCAAATGAAAGTCGAAGCTGAAGCAAGAGAAGTAGAAAGAAAAGCAACATATTAGAAAAAATACGAAGTACTTTAAAATCAACTTGAAACTATGAAGCAAATGATATAGTAAAATCAAGCACTAAATTCATCATCATAGGTGATTTCTTAGGTTCATGCTTTTGTCAGTGCTGAATTACATTACATTTCACTTGAATCTTTGTAAACTTTGGTTTATTCATGTTGTTAAGTATTTTTACTTAATTCAAGTCGTAATTAAATTTTATATTATGTTGCAGTTATTGGATTTTATTACAAGATATATTAAATTTGGGTAATACAAAGTAGAAAATAACATTTGGCAAACCTTCTTTGATTAGCGGCATTTTAGGATAAAAATGCTCCAAATGGAGTACATAGTTGTGGCGTTTGTCCTGACAAATGTCACTATATATATAATTATTAGCGACTTTTTCTGTCAAAAATGCCACAACATATCACAAAATATAGTGACGTTTAGGGGACAAATACCACTAAATATAAGATGATTCGTGACATTAGACACAAACACCACTATATATCATGACAATTAATTGCATTTGTATCCAAATCACCGCTAAATAACCTAACCTTTCGTGGTATTTTATTTCCACAAACACCGCTAATTATTGCACGATTATTTTAACGGCATTTCTTGCGGTGCTTTTTCTTGCGCCGAGAGGGATTTTTAACGAAGATTTAAAACAACATTATAAACTTGTTCTGTTGTAGTGATCGTTAATTATTATATTATATAAGGTTAGGCGGCTAGATGATGTCACATAAGTTATTGTTAATAAAATGATTGTGAGGGTAAGTCTTAGTCATGAATTGGTTGGTGGATGTTAGTAATATTTGGTGAAATAATTAGTCATGCTGTGAGTTTACTCTTATTATAACAAATTTCAGATTAGTTCATTTGTTTGAAAGGCTATGTTAATTTTGAGGTGTGACGTTATAATGATTATATCAATTTAGACGAAACTATTTATAAGATAATGAATTTTACCACGACATATTAAATCGTTCTATTTCTTTTATTAGTACCTATTAATCAATGCTAACCATATTGTTTTGTAACATTATTATTAACCAACATGACTAACTACGACAAGAAGAAAATCTGAAATCCGTACTCAAATCCTTTGGGCTTTATGCTCCTTCCATTGTTCCATTTTCTTTGTCACGTAGGCCTTCTGATGATTCTGTTTTAACAATGGTGTCATTGATAATGAATCGCCTGGCAAAGAGATTGAAGTAAATGAAGTTGAGTGCTTCAATGGCAGCCACCAGGTAATAGAAATTCTCGAGCTTATCTTGGTTAAGATCGTGACCACCTATCCATGGTGTTTTCCCACCACTCTTGGTCACTCGGTGGACGATGTTGACGAGAATCGAGTTCAAGAAGCTCGCAACCGATAAGCTGATGAAGAAGATAGCACCAGCAACAGTTCTCATTGACTCCGGCAATTGAGTTGTGAGATACTCCATCACAGCCACTGCTACAAATGCTTCTACTAAACCTGATAATGCAAATTGTGGCAGCATCATTATGATGCTCATCGGAGACTCAAAGGAACCGCGTTGCAAAGCCGCCTTTCGACGTTGCTTCTCAATCAAGGCAGCCACTATGGAGCAGGCCATTGCAAACACAAGGCCAATGTTAATCCTTTGTGCCATTGACAATCTTTTTGCTTTCCCTGTTATTCTCTTTGTTTGAAACACCCAAAGCATTTCATAAATGAATATCCAAACTGCGAGGGTGATCATCGATGAGAGGCCGAGCCACCCTGGCGGAACCTTGAAACTCGATCCGATGGTATTGTTCGTTTGAATCGCTTGAAGAATTCCAATCGAACCTTGTTGGTCCATTGTCATGAAACAACCTATTCCTGTTATCCAAACGGGAATCATCGCAAGCAACATTTTGAGTTTTTCCACTTGTTGAACACTGCACAATCTCCAACTGCACTTTGGTGTGCCTCGCTCATCCAACTCGCTCGGATCGGAAATTATAGCAGCTTTTTCGAGGCAGCGGAACCGTTTCGTGCGAAAATCAGCCTCCGGATTGTAAAGCGAGTGTTTCGAAACATTCAAATTGTGCTTCCTCGTGGCGGCTGAGATCACTTTCATCATGTCCACAAAAATACACCCTTGAGGCTTTGTTATTATGTAAGCATGGTGACCGATCATGAAAATCACAATGGATACCGAAAGACAAGCAGTCGGAATGGCTAAACCGATGAGCCAACTGATGTTGGTCTGAACATAGACAACCCCGGTTAGCGCTATCACCAGCGAAAACGTAAATGAGAAGTACCACAAGTTGAAGAAGCTCTCGAGTTGTGCCCTTCCTTTCTTCGTCGTGGTGTCGAACTGATCAGCCCCAAACGCTATGTTGCAGGGTCTAATGCCACCAGCTCCGATGGCCATAAACGCCAAACCGGCATAAATGATGCTCAACTGCCACAACTTGGGATCTACACAATTGATTTGGTCAATGCATGTTGGAGGCCTTAATTTAGGCACAGCTGCAGTGAGGGTAAAAATCGCCATCCCCTGGTATCATCCAAAAATCCAGAAAGTTAAAAGAAAATTCGTTTACAATCCAAAATAAAACATCATATAGAATATGTTATGGATTTAGGAAAAAAAAACATATTGATTTACCATTAAGGAGGAGAACGAGGCGAAGAGAAGCATAAGGTACCGTCCGAGCCATGTATCGGAAATGATAGCGCCGCCTATGGACGTGAAACTGGAGCTGCCGGACCAAATACTGACGACGTTAACTAGAAGAAGACCATCCATGTTGTATTTGGTTTTCAAATAAACAGTCATGTTGGCAACCAAGCTCATTGAAGCTAGTTTCTCGAAGGTCTCGTTGGCTATAAATTGGAAAAAAACAAAAACGTAAACATGAAGAACATAACATTAAAAAGCCAAAGGAGATGACATTAAAAATGGGAATTAACCAAGAATGTATTTAACAGCCCTCCATCCTCCACGAGGTTTTTTAGACGGATCATCTGACCAATAATTTGAGCCTTCAACCATTGCTCTCTCTATGTTAAACTGCTTTCACTTTACCATTCTTTTATCTCTGTCTGTGCTGCGAAATTATAGGATCTAATATTACGTTTGTGTTTTAGTGAAGTAACTGCAATAATAACATCAAGGTTATCTTTCTACTTTTTTACTAATAATATTGAAGAAAGGAAATTTTCAACCAATCAAAAAAAGGGAAAAAAACGTACGTTGATGTGGTATTTTTGTTTAAAAATAAAAGAGTTATATTTAATAGGGTAAACTACAACATATACTACTGAACTTTAGACGTTGTATCATATATATCATTGAACTTTCAATTTTGTCAATTTTAGAACTAAACTTTGATTTTTGTTTTAGTTATATAGTGAACCCTTAAATCGTTAACGGTATAAAGATATGGCTGGCGGTTGTTGACGTAGACACCTCACAAAAACAAATTCGTTTTGATATGACTATTAACATTTAACGATCCAATAGTAGAATTAATGAAAATCAAAGTTCAGTACTATAATTAGTAAAATTGAAAGTTCAATAATATAAATAATACAATACCTAAAGTTCGAATGTATCTAATGTAATTTATCCATTTAATTAAATAAATAAAAAGTTATAACCGTACCAAATGTTTTTTCTGCATTTAAATATGAAATATCTGTCCTCTAGACTTGCACCACATATGTAACATTATTTCAGTTCTCGCCGTTTCAAAAAATTCATAATTCTTTAATTGATAAATTAAAATATAACTTTAATATTAGTTTAAAAAATAAAATTATAATTGAATATTCAAATAAAAGTAAGTACGAATCAACTTTTAATAGTTAAAGGAGTCATTAGTATTCTTAGATGTTATAGGTTTGAACACCAACAATTACATTAAAGTAATTGAGAGTTCCTTATAAAATAATTAAAAGTATTTAAAACAAATATTATATTGTAATCACCTTATTATAATAAAAAATTTCAACTTTTTGTTTCCATTATCATATGATATCGTTTGACGTTGATTTTATTGGGTGCTTTTGTTTCACTGTTACCATTGATCTTTCGTGTCGTTGATATCTTTGTTTTTTTCCTATTCATGTTTATGATGTTCTCGCCTCGATCGTCAATGATTGTTTTCGTTATTTGTGTTCTTTTGCTACTGTTCTCTTTGGTGATAGGCGCCAACTCTTATTGCCAATGATTCTTCGTCGATTGTTGTCACCCGCTGATCGTTGATAAAATAGATTAGAGTTCTTTTGCGGATTTCTCATTCAACACAACAAAAAGTAAATATTTCATTATAAAGAATAAAAGAAAGTGATCATGCAATTCGTTGAATGCAATTTCTCGCTGCAGAGCACGAACTATTTTAGTGATTAAAGTACTAGTTGTTCTCGGTGATGAATCAAGGGAGCGGGTGAGGTATACACCCCTGAAAATTTAAATTATTATATCTTTTTAGATCTTTTTTCTATCTATTTTATACTGAAAATTTGTTTTCGTCCCATTAGAATTTTATAAATTTAAGTTCAACCCTTAACATAAAAGCATATGTTTGTCCCTATTTGCTATCCTTTAAGGTACTGGGTTCGAGCACTGCAAATACCGAATGTATGAACATTCATTTCAAATGGTTGAAAATATTTGAACAGATACTATCATGCTTTTATCCTATATGTAGACACTCGTTTTTGTCCGGGTTTTATTATTATTATTATTATCATTGTTATTATTTTATGTTTTACATGTTAGCAAGCTCAACTTCAAGCCCAAGTTGGGCCCAATTACAAACCAACCTGAAGCCCACAAGGACAAAGTCCAAGAGATCTGAACCGGCCCAAAATTAGTAGCTCAAACCCGGCTAGGGTTTTCACCCTTAGCCCCAGCCGCTTTCGATTCCAGCCATTGGATCAGATTTGATCCCACGGTCCAAGTTGGCCTAGATTAGGGTTTTCACCCTAATGATCTCATCCAGCCACCGCTAGTGGACTTAGACCGTCCGATATGCCGCGCGTGAGATGCACGGTCCAACTCTTCAACTCCCCACCACGTGAACCGCATGAACTCTCATGTCGTCGCCAGTCAGCAACCAAATCCATCAAACAATGACCAGACAAAATATCAGTCAGAAAAACCCATTTAAAAAAACCAAATAAAATCCTGAATCAGGGATTTTCCCACTTACCCAAGCATAGGGAAATCATTCCATACGAAAAACCAATATTATCATCACAAAGCAACCATAAAAATCAGGAGGGAAGATATTTTTGGTAAAGAGAGTTTTTCAGGGAAAAGATGAGACGGAGAGTGAAGCAAACAGAGAGAGCATTTGGGAGAGAATCGAGAAAAAACCCCAAACACCTATCCTATTCGAATAGAAAAAAAAAGAAACAAAAAAAACCAAAGAGATAAGATCATACCTTGGTTCGGTGAACATCGAAAATATGAAAGGTTGTTGGTTTTGGAGTTTATCGGAAGGTAAATCCTAGATCTAGGGTGTTAAGGTAAGTTCTAGGCTAAGTGGGGCTAGGATGCATGTTAAAGAAGGCGTGCAGAGTGATTTGGAGGTATATTACTCTCTTCGGCTGCCGTAAGAGGCCGTGAAACGCCACCGATGAACAACGGCCCGCTCTCTCCTAATGAGAGAGTTGAGATATTTCTCAAACTCTCTCACCCCTCTGCTGAAGAAGTGATGCAAATGAAAATGGTGGTCGATTTTGGCCTTTAATTTGTTATATATATGACGCTCGAAACGACGTCGTTTGGGAAAGGATTAGGTAGCATCTTTCAGCGCATGGTTTAATTAGATATGAAGGGTCCTTGATTTGTAAACTATTTTTTTCAGTCACTAAATGAAAGTTTTTATTATTATTCGGGCTTTTCATTTGTTTTTATTTTATTTCATCCATCGATAATTCGTAAGAATATGTGTTATATTTATACTTTTAATCCTTGATTTGTCATTGGATTCGATTGTGGTCCTTCTTGTATGCCAATATATATAGTTTTGTATGTTATGCTTTGGTTATTATGTTTAGGCTCGTATTTATTTTAGTCATTGTCTCTAATTTAATATTTAATTTTAGGGTTTATTTCTAATTGGTCCTGGTTGTTTCTTCCTCATAGTTTTTGGTTCCTGAAATCACCATATATGATTATTTTCACTATTTGTATTTTGATTTGAAATGTTCACTTATTTTATTTTAGTCCTTTATGTATGAATATATTTTACATATTATATATATTTATATGTATTAAATTAAGTTAATCTTATTAGCTTTATTTATCGTAGATATGTATGTTTCAAATTGCATTTATTTTCATCATATCTTTTATATATTATTCAAATATTTTCAAGAACATTTATTTGTAGAATAGGCGTAGAGAGAACTACTTGATCGAAGTAGTGTAATCCGATACGACATTCGAACGAAGTATGAACTTGAAAACTCGAATGTTTTTATGTATTTATTAAGATAATAATAATTTTTTATTATTATGATATTTTATTTTATTCTTATTTCTATTTCTATTTTGTTTTACTTACTCTTAATATTGATGATGTTTGTTTTCAATTGTGGTAAAAATTGTTTCATGCAAACTTTTGATATTAATTTCATGTTTAAATAATTCAAAGATAGAATCTTCTTTTACGGATGAGAAATAGTTGAGATAGCTTTCTCGATGAAGGATTGCAAATTCCAAGATTTCTTATGAGGTCAAAGAATTATCTATAATTAATCAATTCGGAGTAAATTAATTAAACTTCAATAAATGGATCGTACTTTAAATATTGTTTCGATTCATAATTTCCACCATTACGACAACGTGTAATCGATTAAGTACCGATTTTTGGGAGTTGTGGGGGTGCTTATTTTTCCCCACGCATAATCTACTCCTGGACCCCTTAAATTGAATCTTTGATAACGCAGACCGATTTTTTGTCTAAACGACGATTTTTCTTAAAATTGTTTAAAAAGACATTTTTAGGTATTCAACCTACCTAACCTAAACGTTGATGGCCACTCCCATCCAAATTAATTCAAAATCTCCAAAAAAATTCAAAATAAAGTCATAATTATTTTTTAAACTTAATTGTTTTTTTAAAAAAATGATTATGACAATTTGGCGACTCCACTGAGAAGCTTTTTTAGAGAGTCAGACTATAAGTCACTTACATATTGTTGTTGTGGCAGAAATTATGGGTTTGGGTCTATAGTTAGCTTATGATCCATTTATTGATGTTTTTCTAATTTCTTTATTTTTTTGAATTATCATACTAACGTTTTAATTTATGTTTTCAGCTTTATCAAGTTTTTTGTCAAGTTTTTTCATTTTCCTTTTTGAGTCAAATGTTTGCATGTTTCTCCTCACACACCTCATGTGCATTTGCATGACATGAGCTCTAGACCCGAGCTTTGTTCCAAGTAAGTTGGGGTGAATGCTTTACTCTCGTAAGAATTTATTCTTCGTAAGAGTTTTAGAAAATAACCCCTGGGATACATATGCCTTATACCTCCGTAGGGATTTATTCCTCGTATGGGTATAAGGAAGTGAATCCCCTCGAATTGAACTTGATCCGTTTATGCCTGTAATAGGTTAGGACTGAGGGTTTAGCACCCTAAGGGGCACCGACATCAAGGATAATTCGAGTACCCTTTCCTCATAGATATGAAACCATGAATATAGTGAATCGTTGAACGATCACCCTAGGTATAGCCATATCGAACCTCTTTTCATCACTGGGTGCCAAATTAGCTGTACACAAAGGAGGAGTGACTCTAAACCCTAACCATTTACTTTAAGTTCATAGAATATATTTATTTTATCGATTGTTTTACCTGTACTAATTTTTTCCTATTCTTTTGTGTCATTTTCACATTATTTTGCATTGCATTTCATCAACATGACATAATACGAAAGTGTTGATTCGCAAGGGAATATTTAAGTGAAAATTTTCATAAGTAGAGATAAAAGTTTTCAATAAAGCAATCGCATACACAGACATGCACCAAAGGCTA